CCCGAATCCATTTCCTCTCCTCTGATGACTCCTACACCTAATTATGCATTGATCTCCTTTTAAAGCCTCTTCTCCTATATAGTATGGGGCGCCCTTTGTAAAGATGAGCCGTCAAAAAATAAGGAGCAGTATTTATGGTTATTTAGCGTATTTTAAGAGAAAAATAAGGGGTTTATTTTTTTTATTTTTTTTCCCTATGTAATTCATTCATTTATATAAATCGTACTTTGTTAAATAAATAAATAAATATTTAGCTCCAAACAAAATATTTAGCTTTTTTAAATAAATATTTAGCTCCAAATTAAATATTTATTTAAAAAACTAAATATTTAATTGCCAAACTAAATATTAAGCTCCAAACTAAATATTTATTGAAGAAAGTAAGATTTTTATAAATTAATGAAAGACATAGTGAAAAGATGACTTTCTCCAGAATAGATGCTCGATCCACCTCAGCTGGCTCCTTTTCACGTGGAGGAGCAACGACGCTACTCTAAAGCTCCTCTGCGGATCTGGAAGGGTGCGCCAAGCCACCCTGTGACGGAAACTCATTTCGGCCGCTTGTATTCCCTGGTCTGCACACGCAGTTTCTGGCTGTAGGGACATGAAACGTCACAGCCTTCACCTATCAGGATAAAATCCTTAGAGGACTGGTAGACCCTGCTCTGGCCCAGTGGGTCCCAGTTTCGTCCTGTCCATGAAAACACCCAAATTTATGTGGAAAGAGTACACAGATTCTGGAGGGTGAAGGAACTGATACCATTGACGGTCCACCATGTTCCCCTGACCTAGAGCCATGTGGTGCCACCAGCTGAAGGCCACCCCTCAGACTTATCAGGAGCTCAGAGATGCCTTGAGAACCAGGACGAGATCTTCCAGGGCAGCTGCTAAACTGGACCAGCCTGCTGCTTCACTTCTCCGTTTTCATTCTTACTGATCTCTCTAGATTGAACGTTTTCATCAACGATGTGGCGTCCGGTTGGCCTTGACACATTAGGCAGTCGGGGTTTGTTTTTCGAACTGGCATCTGATGTTTTGAGATCATTTGAACAGAATGCTCTTCATTACGCCCACATGTATTTCAGTCTTCTTTAGTTGTTGGCCTCTAAAAGAGATCGCAGGACCAGGGGCGGATTTAGGAAGGGGGCCTTCGGAATTGAGAGACAACACATAAAACAGACCCATTATACAGATAGAGAAATGTAATAGAATAGACATCCATTATTTGTTCTAGGTTGTGTCCCTCTCTTCTTGTCCCTTTTCTTGTTTTCCTCTCTATGTTTTGTACTCAGCTGACTTTTCATGCTGTCTCAAAAGGAATGAAAGATTTTTCCAAGCTCTAAGCTCACTTAGCTGATTGCTCCTTCCTGTGTTTCCAAAAAGGCCAAAGTAAATAACCCAGTCCTTCTTTTCATTGTAGACAAGCCATGACCTGCTTCTCTGTTCTCCATTTTTCATTTGGATGAAATAATAGCTGCATGAATCATGACAGCAGACAAGATAGAGGAGAGCAGGAGGTGGGGTTACCTATCTACTGGCTCTGGAGAGCAGAGTTCACTGCTTTTAGATGTTGTCTACAAAGTCTCCAGTAGCAGAAAAAAGTCGCTAGATTTGGCGCTAGGAGCTTTTTGTAATGAAAGTGCTAGAGGGATCTGAAAAGTCGCTAAATATAGCGTTTTCCGTTTTCCATCCTGTGGTAGTAGATTAGACCCACTATGTTCTTTTTTTTCTTTTTTTTTTTTTAATGATAGCTAGATAGATGAAAACTGAACAAAACCTCAGCTTCGCCCACCTGAATATTTGTGGAATAAACTCAACAATGAAGGAGGTCACAGCCATTTCACTACATGTTGAGATGTTTTCATGCTCCCTGTTCAGCCTGGATGCTTCAACCCCCCTGATTTATAAGGCTGCTGTAATCGAGTCTCTGTTCTCTTTGTCAACATCAGATCGAAATGGACTCACTTTGAGAAGAGGACCATGAGGTTCTAGCAAGAACCTTGGAGACCTTAAAGAAAACAAGATGAAGAGAGGAAGATGAGTGTGGAAAGTAGGATCAGTTGTAAGAGGCGAATGCGTAACAATGATTTTCCTGCTTCTGAACTCTGTATGAAGGTGGAAACGTTTGAGGCTACGCTGCATCGGTGGGACATTACACTTCATTACTGACGTTTGGACGGTACGGAGGGTTTAGGAACAGATCGGAACCAGCTGCTGTTTTTTATGTAATGTTTTCAATGTCAATAAGTAAAGTTTTTTTTTTAAGATGAATCCATGGTGACCCTGTATGATTACTCTGTTAATGACCTGGATTCCTTGGGGGTTCGGGGGGTTATGATCAGTACTCAAGTAAAAAAAATTTTTTTAAATCATCCCCTTCTTAAATGACCATCCACTGTGACATTTTATCACTGAATGTATAAAATCTCTATTATATATTAACAGTAGTGGCAATAGTATTGCCCTTTCAACATTTGGCAGGCTGTGGGCTTACGAGTAGCCTGACCAAATTACGGTGGCCCAGAGGGCAATAGTGATTTCATTTTTGACCTCAGTGGCTCAACCTGTGGAGCAGTTGACGATGTTCTGAACAGCATCACGGCCAAGCGGCAAAGACAACGCGATTTGAGGGACTTTTTAAATAGGCAAAAACAATGCTTCAGGCAAGTCAAGAGTCAGAAGACATTAGCCTTTATAAGCTTACCAGTGTGTCACCAAATATGTAGGAGTCCTAACCTCTGGAAATAGCGAGAGCATGGAAAACTAGGTAAACTAGTTTGAAGCGAAAACATTTTTCTGTCTTTAAAGTTGTCATGAATGATAGACCAAACCTTATAAAGTGGATGGGAATAAAGTTTGGACATACAAACCAGTGGCAGAAAGAGGACACTTTAGTTTCCTGCTCCTGTCTAGAATCCCGTCTGAGTTTCACAGAGTTGGTTCTTGTGTGTCTCTATGATGGACCAGAGAGCTGTCCAACATGAAGACAAAGACAAAAACGTTACATTGATCAAGAACCCTAACATTCACATGAAAAGCATAAAGAAGGGATGGAATGAAAAGCCACATTTCTGTGAATTTATTGGATGAAAGAATCGACGATGAACAAATTCCCAAACATAAGAGAAACACTCATCCTGGTTTAAACCACACTGCCCTCTAGTGGATGACAAGGATTATCTTTTAGATTTAGCCGGGAGAAAAACAGCAGAAAGGTTTGAGATGAACGCTTGAAGTTCATTTATGACCAGGAGTCCTTTAACCTTCTGAGACCGTGGTTTCACATGTAGAGCTCTTGATAAGTAGATCATGACAGTGAAATGTATTGTTACAACAGTTGTAGTCTGCAAAGAAGACCTTTAATAAACAGCTGAGGGGCAGCAGAGACTTTAGCATCACATCAGCAGCAAAGCTAAGGCCTAAAAAGCAAAAGAGAAAAATGACACATCAGGGGCTCTGCCAGGGACCCCATGAAAGAACTGCTATCAGGATGCACTGAAAAGTATCATTTACATTTTCACTGTAGGTTTTATCGCAACATTTCTACAAAGGAAAATTATCAGAACACAAAAAGTTAAATATGCATTACCTTTAAACTCCCTAAAGTAAGCTGTGTTTTTTTTTTTTTTTTTGAGGAGCAGTTCTTAAATAAAACAGTGGTTATTTCTGTCAGTGTCTGTCATTAATTGTGGCCTGAATAATATCGACCAAATTTGAGCAACAATGAAATTGAAATTGTGCAGTTCTTAGATCTGTCCAATCCATCCCGTCACAGAGTTCCACTCCGTCACACTATATTCCACCCCGTCACAGATGGATTTTTATTTTACAAAAAGGTCATTTATGTTCAAAGCAATTATACACATAGTTTATATTTGCATAATGTAGATATTATGTAAGTTTCATTGTAGATTCTGAAGTCAGACTGTAAATTTTAGCAAAGAAAGTATGATCTCTTGCACAGTACATTTATTTTTTAATGCTGTACATCAAATAAAAACATTAAAAAAACACTTTAAACTAACTATTGGTATTTTTGAACAAAAAGACACTTTCTGAAGTGAATAACATTTTGTCTGTCTTACTTTTATCTAAAATTACCTTTGAATTTTTTAACTTTTGTCCTGTGATGGGGTGGAAAAAGAAACTCTGATGTCCGGATATAATGTGCTAAAATACTCTAAGAAAATAGTGTCTGAGCTTGAAAAATATGTTTTATTGCGAGTGTTACATGTTCTATAGGCTATGAAACTAAAAAAAGAACAAAAATGTTTATGATAAAAAACTTCTAAATTCAGAGGTCCAATCTTAACACTTTCCATGGAATGACCCATATACTGGTGGATAAAAAACTTGCTCAATTTATTCGTGCCTTGTGTCACTATTTACTGGTGAAAAATGAGGGAGAACATAGAAATTATTTATTTTACTGCTACTCTTTTTATATTTAAAATATATATTGGGACATATATTTTCTTCTTTTGGGCCCCCTTAATCAAGGACCCTTAGAATCATCCTAACTTTCCCCCCCGATATGGCGCCTCAGCACATCATACTGACAAAAATAACATTAAATAAAGATATGAAGCTGGATCAAACCCTTTCTAGATTCAACAACTTCATTTGTCTTCAAGGTTCAGCAGCCAATGCAGGAGTTCAGACCCATCTTTTTCTAGAATCCATTTGGAGAAGGTCTAGCTCACTGTCCCTGCTCCAATTCATCCTAAATGTTCCTAAATGTTACTGAAGCCCACTCAGAAAGTTTAATTAAGTTCTTGAAAGAACCCAGTACATTTATCCCATTAAAAAGTGTTATCTAAGTGTGCTAACATTAGCTAATCCTTTATTTATCCTACAATGTGGCACTTTATGTCAGGACTCCTGTCTTTGTGTTTGTGTGTCTGTGTTTGTCTCCCTTCATCCACCAGGAGGCGCCTGGTTCCGGATCGCCTCCTCACACACCTGGTTTCCTCGTTAACGGAGTGCTCTTAAGCTGCTGACTGCCACTACTTCGACGCCAGAGTGTTTGCCAGTTTTGGGTACTCTAGCCAAGCTGAGTTTTGCTGAGTCTGAGTTTTTGTCAACCTGAGTTTAACTTTGTTTTTTGTTTTTGCCTCTCGGCAGGAAGTCATCCTGCAAACTGGATTTCTCAGACCTTCTCTCCCTGGAATGATCAACTGAGCTTCAAACTGAGCTGGGGTTCAAACAAGAGGTTTGGATCCACTCTCCCCAAGAGATCGTTTGAGCTTCTCACTGAGAAAGGGATTATTCTCCACTATGACCCATTCAAGTACCACAGGAAATCTGAGTGGCAGTCAGTTTCTCCGTTCACCAACTAACAACCGCATTCTTAGTAAAACCTTAGTAAAATCATGACAGCTCCATCTGATATCAGGGATATGATTGTTCCTTATGTTTCTAACAGAGCACTTAGTCTCAATCTGCAGGTTTACTAGTTGTTCCTAGAATTTCTAAAGTAGAATGGGAGGCAGATCTTTTAGTTATCAGGCTCCTCTCCTGTGGAACCAACTACCAGTTTTAGTACGTGAGCCAGACACGCTGACTACATTTAAGGGTAGGCTTAAAACTTTCCTTTTTTATAAAGCTTATAGTTAAAGTGGCTCATTTCATCATTCTATCTCTATTCTCCCATTCTGCAGAATCTGTTAGTTTAATCTCTAACGTTCTGCTCTCTCTGCTTTTTCTCATACACAGTAAATGTTGCAGTGTTAAAGTAACACTTTCACAGTATATGTGGTCCCACACTAATTCAGAGTGGGGCCAAATGTACTCTTGAGTGTTACTTTAACACTGCAACATTTACTGTGTAGTAGCTTCATCTGGATTATTCCTGTTTGGCTGTGACACCACCCTGGAGAGCAATATCAGCTGTGCTGCTGCCATCAGCAACTTTGTTTAAAGATGTTGGAGATCGGCCTGTTTTTCAGTGTAGTTCTGTTTTTCTGACTGTGACTGGCTGGATGGCTCTTTCTTCCTCTGACATGGGAGCTGGCTAAAAACTCGTCGGCCTGGCTGTGTGTTTCCTGGATGGCGCCACCTTTTACATTTGCCTTTTCTATCTCTGCTTCTATCTCTTTGAACCCCAGTCGGTCTCCGCACATGGCCGCTCACACTGAGCCTGGTTCTGCTGAAGTTTTCCTTCTTTTAAAAGGGAGTTTTTCCTCTCCACTGTCACTACAGGCATGGTTAGTGTGAGGGATTGCCTTCGAGTCAATGAGTCGATGCAATCAACTGTCATGGTTGGTTTAGAAATCAAACCCACATGCAGAACACCACTTGGAGACTGATAAAAAGTTCAACAGAGTTTATTAAAGGTTTGCACAGAGATAACATGAACTGGATTCTGGAACCTGGTCCGGGCAGGATTCTCAGGCGTCTGCAGAGACGGATAGTTTGATTAGCCAGGTTAACAGATTAGTTGTTGAGTTTTCAGATGTTTCTGAAAATACCTTGAAGAGGTCCAGGCTTTCTTTTCTGAGAGAGGGAACCGGTTGGGTCCAGAGACTGTTGGTTCAGCAGAGTGCTCAGCAGCAGCAGCGTCTAGCCTCTGACTTTCTAGTGACAGACCTTGGTTTGAGGGATTAGCTCTTTCCTTAAGAGCAGCAGGTGGATTCCAGAGTGAGATCTTCAGGTTTGGCTCTCTAGGGCAGGCAGGCAGGTAACAGGTTAAGCTCATCCAGAGCTTCAGACGAGAGACAGGTTTCCTATGAGCGAGAAGACAGAGGCAGGTTAGAATTGGGTTTCTCTTAGAGACAAAGATTCTAGTAGTTCAGAGGCTCAGGTTTGCTAACCAAACTTCGTCAACACTGCGGCGTTGAAGGAAGGTCTGGCTGCTGATTATATAGGCAGGTCTCCTGATGGGCTGATAAACGTCAGCTGTGCTGGAGGGCTCCAGCCCAGGAGATCCACAGCGCACTCTGCTGGAGAAGGTGGAGAATCTCCAGATCCCAACATCAACTGGTTTTCCTTATAAATCTTTGAATAAATTTGACTGGATGATCTGATTAACTGTGAAGTGTTTTGAGATGACGTGTTGTGAAAATAAACTGAAAATAAACTGAAGTGTTAACAAAAATAAATGTGGGTAAGTACAGCTATACAGAGACTAGACTATTTGGTAAGGCTTTATATTAAGGTCCTTGTAATAAACATTAGTTAACAGGTAGTAAAGCCTTTATAAGTGCATATAGATGCTTATTAACATTATTTTGTGTTAATAACACTACAATGCATAAATAGTATCATAATATTGTTAATAACAGACTATAAGACATTGATAATAACTTATAAGAAACTTGTTAAGATCATCATAGGTGCTTACAATATGCTTATTAACATCATTATGTGTTAATAACACTATATGTATGAACAGCATTATTATAATACTGGTAATAACATACTAAGACATATAATAAGACATTATAGTCTGTTATAACAGACTATAAGACATCATGTTTAATAACATTACAAACACCTATATTAATTAAATAACCACAACCATGTCTTGCCATTAGTAATGTTTTTTATATAATAATGTTTAATTAGATTATTATACACTTTATTGGTTGAAGTTTATCTATTATAAGTTAACTATGCACTTGTTTACATTTAACATGCTTTTTTGCAGGTACTGGTTCTAAGGCAAGAACAATGTCTTATTAAGGTTGATTAATCTTATAATGTGAACTGTTATGCCTTTAAGAACATATATTTTTTGCTTGATTTATCTAAGTGTATTTTATTATGCCATTATTACACTTGTTAATAGCTTACTGTGCTTTTTACCAGATCTAAAGTGAGAACAATGCCTTATTAAGTCTAATAAATCTGCTGTTGAGCATTCAT